GCTAGTATCTCTAGCATTTGACATGATGAACGCAAAAAACACGGCTAGTGTCTCTAGCATTTGACATGATGAACGCAAAAAAAAAAACAAAAAAAAAAAACAACCCAACAAACTTGTTTGTAATAATTACCTTTTCTAAATATTATCACGTTTATCAGTCAAAGTGAAAAAAAAAACAAACAAAAAAAACCTGTTTTGTTCAAAGGTCTAGGAACATGTATGAGTTGACAGAACTTTTCATTTTTATAAATCATATTAAAGAACGGCATACTTATGTTAGAATACATGAGATGTTTACAAATGACATCACATATTTATTAATTTGTCATTATTCTGAAGCAAATCGAAATAAAAAAAAATAAAGTGTAAAGTTACCGAAATTCATTTGATTGATTGCAGTAATGATAGGGAATGTCCAAGTTATTATAAATTAACGCATATAAATTACAAATAGCATTTTCCATAGACTTTTAACACTTTTTTTTTTTACTCTTAACCAATTCACCCCATAAAAAAGCTTTAAATGACACTGAAAACTGCTTCACAAATCACCTCGTTTATGGGTAATCGGGGATTTAAAAAAAAATAATTTTAAAAAAAAAAAATAAAAAAAAAAAAATATTTAAAAAAAAAAAAAAAAAAAAAAAAAAAGAAGAAGAATCCGTCATAATAACAAAATGCTATTTCACAGACACGTTGTTGTTGTTGTTTTTTTTGGGGTAGCTTTTAACTGGATTCTTAAAAGAAAAGGGCGTGCAAATGGGTGGGCAAGATTGTTTATTATTGCGATAAAAAGAGAACACCAGTTGGGTATTCAATAAATATAGGATAAGAGTGTGTTTCTTTTTCTTTTTTTTTTTTTTTAACTACCCGTTGTGTTAACGGAAATTTTGTTACAAAAGTAGCACCTTTAAAGAAAACACAAACACCTATCCTTACGTTAAAAGTCAATGTTTTATTATGAAAATACAATCGTAATGGGGGAACCTCCGGCGTTTTTGCACTTGCCAACACCCGATAACCTTACTTCTCCTTATGGTTAAATAATTGAATTCATTAAAACGTTATTTCATTCTTCTTAAAAATTAAAAATCATTAAAAAAAAAAA